GGTGGGGGCGGGAATGCTCTTCCCGGTTCAACGCGGCGCCCGTTGCACGGGGGATCCTGCTCCCCGGTGCAACGCGGCTTCCCTGTGCACGGGTGGGGGCGGGAATGCTCTTCCCGGTGCAATGCAGCTCTCGCTGCACGGGGGCAGATGCTGCCCCCGCTCCCGGTGCAATGCGGCTCCCAGTGAAATCCTCCCCCGACTCCCAGTGCAGGGAGGATAAGCAGGGATAAATCCCTCCCCAGTGTCTCTCTGACCCCCGTTTCCAGGGCCGCTTCCCTGGCAGCGCCCGGGGCAGCTCCATGCGGAGCCCCAGGCCCTGCAGCTCTCGGCGGTTGCAGGGGTGACAGACACCAGCCCAGGACCGGCTGCCTTCCTCCTTTAGAAGGAAAAGAAATTTTTGAAAATCAAGCTTTATCGAGAACAGACTTTGCATAAAGCGTCAGAGGTCCCCACGCTGACCCCACCATTAGGGGGAAAGCTGCCTACAGCTGCTTACCAACTGTAATCACTAGTTTAAAAAATAAATAAAATCCACCTTTTCCAGACTGCCACACTGATGCTACTTACAGCTGGTTTATTCCCTGAGATGCCAGAACCGACACCAGGAAAGTCTTAATTGCAGCACACAGCATTCAGATGATCAAAGGGCCAGAAGTTCCTCTTTTCCTTCTGACCTAAATAGGTAAAAATTATTTACCTTTTTGAAGAAAGCGCCAGCCCCAGCTCTGCTGCACCCCCCGAAGCGGCTGCCTCGGCACCAGGGCGCTGTGGCCGGCGGAGCTACGGGCTCCATCTCCGCGTCGCTCACCAAGGGACGGGGCTGGAATCAAAATCCCTTGTTTCTTTCCATGCTCAGTTTCAAACAATTACTCAAAAAATGGTTTTTAAAATATCACATTTGAGGAGTCCACAGTACACAACTGAGATCAAGAACCAAGGAAGGAGAAAGAGGAGTAAAACTCATTAGAGACCGCGATGTCAAACCCCTTGAAGACCATGTTCACCCCTCGCCACCTGACCCAGTCCCGAGGGGCTCGGGAAGGGTTTTCCCATGTCCCGGTTGGTTCCCAGCCTGTGACCCTCCCTCCTTGCCCCAACACTTGGCCGGGCCCACGGGGCTCCGGCTGCTCCGGACAGAGGAGGAGGGTCCTTCCCGCAGCGGCTCCTCTGCCTCCTCCGTTTCCTTTTGCCCTTCATTCACCTTTTGGAAGACGCCAGGTTGAAGGATGGGAAGGCCAGAAGAGATGTGTCCCAGTCCAGCACCACCCAGGCCTGGGCTGCAGGATGCTGGAGAACTCGGAGGCGGCAGTTACGCTGCAAGGACCCTCTTCCACAGGAGCATGGAAAGCTCCACGGGGGCTGGCTCCACCTCCATGGCACACTCAGCTCCATGGCACTGTGTGAAAATCCAGAGCCAAACCCCCATTCCCGTTCTCAGCGCTCCTGGGATAGCGGTGTCCAAGCACTGGGTATCCCACAATCATTCCCCACGTCACGAGCACAAAACTAGCCTCACTTCAGGCTTCTTTGGGCTCAACAGGTTTTATTCCACAAGCAGGAATAAGCATCTCGGCCACCGCAAGAAGATAAGCCACTCTCCTCTCTGAAAACTGCTTTTCCTCAAAAAAGGTGATCCCCCTCAGCACTGCTGCATCAGTAAAACAGCCCGAGGGGCCGTTGCCTCCCCGCAGCCTCCAGGGAGGCCGCTCAGGACACACAGATGCGGCTTCCAGTCTACGGGCAGAGCTGGAATGGGAATGTGCCGCGCTAAGACCGGTTCTCAGGGGGTCCGAGATCTAAGCCCGCTCTGGCAGTATCTGGACAAGCCCTGCATCCATAAGCACCTCGTTGCGAGCCGGAGCTGGGGCAGAGCAGGCTGCAGGGGTCAGTGGCAGCGGCTTCCAGCACCTGCTGCCGTTAACGCAGGCCCACGCGGGCTCTCCCGGCCGTATCCAGAGGAGCAGTCACCATCGCGGTGGCCGGAGCCGCTGCCCTCGGCCGCGGATCGGTGCCCGAGGGCTGGACGGCAGCGCGTGGCGGAGCACGTCCCTCCCTCAGCCTTGCGGGGCCGGCACAGGAGCAGGCGGATCCCGGTGAAGCGCAGCGAGCGGGTTCATGCAAACCGGCTACGGACAAGCAGCAGTGCGAGCTCGAGGGCCTGGAGGAGCCGCTGCGGATCGGGAGGAGGGAAGCGGAAAGCCCTGCAGAACGGCCGGGCAGTCCCACCACGCTGCTAAAGCCAGGCCACGCGGCACGTCTGACAGACCAAGTCCTCAACTGGCAGCAGTGGCAGCGCAGATCCGTCGCTGGGAAGTGGCTTTAGCGAAGACAACAGGGACAGAAGAGTTGAAGCAGCAGCACAGAAAAAATTAAATCTTCCGACGGCAATTTACGTGCATTTTGTCTATTTTAAATGAAGACATCCTGGGCTCTAGTCCCACTGTTCACATTCACAGCAGGCTCCTATAAAAATAACAGGAACTTTAGACTTTGAGATTTGACTCTTTTCTAGCCCAGCTTCTGAGCCACGTACCGACACTTGCAAAATGATCTGATCTGTTTGTGACACATGTGACAGGTTGAGAGCCAGAAATAGAGGGATAAATATTCTTCATCATATAAATATGCTGTAGAACATCTCAACAAGGGCAAAGTGCTTTTTTTCCTTAATTAAAACAAAATAAAAACCTAAATGTGACTGTCCTAATCACAACAGAATGCTTAAATGCTAAAACATCTGAATAGCCTAGTTTACGATTGAGCTGACATTGAAGTGATTGGGGCAGAGCGCTCAGTCCTTCGGGACACGGAAGTTATCCTTCTCTCTCCTGATGGCTCCCATCGTTCGGATGGGATCAGTCTCCCCGGCGTGCTGCTGAACTGTCTTCTCCCTGCCCAAAGGGAACAGCGAGGGCAGTAAACACAAAGGCTGCAAATAAACATCTTGTGGGCAAAGTCACTGCTATTGCCTTTCATCTGCAGCAAGGGGAGTTCTGCATTTAAAACCAAGGCCCTGCATTTTGCCATGGACTTACCGGCTCCCTTGATTTAAACACTCATGGGCAACAGAGGCTGCAAACACTCTGCACCTCCTCGTGTGCCCCTCTGCCAGGCTTGGCAGGACCAGGAGCAGAACCTGCCGTGACACCCAGGCCAGGGCCCGGCGCGGGCGCTCACACAGCCCTGCCGACCCCAGGCCTTGGCGCACGGGCACGTTCTGCCACGGCACCTCTTGGAAGGGAGATGTTGGAAGGATGCACACGATGCAGGGGAGCAGCTCGCTCCTCAGGGACCTCATCCCCCCCATCCCCAACGCCAGACACGGAGGGGTGGCTCCCACAGACCTCACTCGCATGAAGGGGTTGTAGGTGAACTCCTCGGCGATCGTGGAGGGGATGGTCGGCTCCCCGCTGTCGTATTTCGCCTGCAGCAAGGGGAGAGGTTTGTGCTCCATTACGGATGTTCTGGTGAGCAAGCAGCGCCCTGGCCTGTCCCAGACAGGATACAACTCCCAAGACGGCTACAGCCACCCGGGACAGCAAGCCTGGGACAACCCCTGCCCCCAGGCACGCTGTGCCCCTGGCAGCACCAGCTCTTGTCACCCCCTTCCCTCCGCCTCTCTCACACTCTCCCCTCTGCTCTGCCTTGCTGAAGAGGCTCTTCGGCCACAGAGACATCCAGCAAGTCCAGAGAAAGCACGAACCAACTCACCTTGGCCCAAGCAAGCTTGTCTTGGATAGCGACATTATCGGGCTCGACGTGTCGGGCAAATTTGAGATTGCTGATGGTGTATTCGTGACCGCAGTAAACTCTCTGGGAAGAGAGGTGAAGAGTTAGACAGGGCTGCAGGGGGGAGCAGCGCCGGGCGCTGACACCGGAGTCACAGCAAAGAACAGGGCGCAGAATCGCGCTGCGGGACACGGCGCTCCCCATGGGAGACACGCGCGGCTGCGACCAGCCAGGCATGGTGGGCAAAACAACCTCGGCATCCTAGCCTTCCTTTTAATAAATACCCTCTGCTCCCTGGTCGTTGTTTAAATAAACACCCTCTGCTCTCCCCCGCAGAGCCCAAATGGATTTGGGGTTTATGCATTCCCTTCTCAAAGGGCCCCAGCTATTCTGCAGCAGGGACGGCCCTTGGTGGAAGCATTTGTTTCTTTGAAACACGGGCAACTCTACCTCGTGTGATTAGGGAGGCAGTTTCTTGTGTTTTGGGGGCTGCCCTGCTAGCACGAAGGGCGGCTTCCTACCGTCTCCGGCGCCAGGCTGCCCAGCACCTCAATCAGGGCTCTGTACATCTCCTCGGGGGTCCCCTCGAAGAACTTCCCGCAGCCGGCCACGAAGAGCGTGTCCCCTGCGAGGACACGGCGGCGTCACGCGGAGGCTCCCGCGGCCCGGAGCGCCGCGACACCCACGGCTCTGCCCCGCGCGCTCCGGGCTGCGCTGACCCACGTGGGAAATGCCTCCCTCGTCCGCTCTTTAACTTGGAATACCGAAAATCCCTCAGCCTCCACAGGCAAAAAAACCCTAGCCAAGAGGCAGCCTCCCTTGCTCTCCCTTCTAGCACTGTTTCTCTTTGCTATGAGATTGTACAAAGATGAAGGCACATGAGCACTTCCAGCTTCCTCGATGTTTTCTCCCTAACCCCCTGCTCCTGCATTGGCTTCTCCTCCACACCAGCTGGTCCAAACTCCGGAGAACAGCAGCCTGGGGAGACCCAGAGCAGTCGGGAATTCTGCTCCCCGACTCCGGAGCCAAGCCAACACCCATCCTGTCCTTTTTTTGTTCTTTCAATCCTGTTTCAGACACAGGCACAGGTCTATAGGAAAACAAACACTCGGTGGAATCAAGACACAGTTGGGCAGGAGTGGGTGGAGGGTGTCCAAAAAAACCAAAACTGAATCAAAACAAAACACCCACAGCTCATAATTCAGGGAAGAAAGTATTAAAAAGCGAGACTCCTCCAGGGCTCTTCTCTGAACGCTGCTTGCTGGATGCCCAGCAATGCAGTTACTAACCCAGAGGGGTTTCACCAGGTTTATCTGCCATTACTGCTTGCTAGCTGTTGCTAAGGGGGCAGGTGAGGAAGTCAGTCAGCTCCAGAGTTAACTAGGAACAAATACAGCCAGGAGCACCCAAGCAGGGGGACAGCCTATTTCTGCGGGACACAGGCTGCAGGCGATGTAACCTCCCAACTCCTCACCTGTAAAAACAGCAGGTGGCTCGGAGCTATTTGGCTTAGTCACATAATAACAGATGTGTCCAGAAGTGTGACATGGAGTACAGAGGCATTTCACATTAAGAGATCCCACCTGAGAAGAAGGCAGAAGACTGGAGCTTAAGCTGCTGTTTGCCAGCATTTATGTGATTAGAAAAGAACTGCCGCTATCACAACCGTCTAGCAGCCCTAGGGGCAAATCCTAACAGAGATGAAGGGTAAATCCCAGCTCTGCTCCCTGGGGAGTCCGGCAAGAGCGTCCGACAGGAAGGACTTGGGAAGGAGCCGCTTCCTCCTTGGCTGGTGCAAAGGGAACTGCCGAGTTTTTCATTTATATGCAGAATGACTCAGCGTCTGGCTGACAGCACGAGCAAGCAGATCCAGAGCAGCACAAAACCCTGCTCAAGGTTAATGGAGTGTAAAAAGCTCCCAACAAAAATAAAGCAGAAGGGAGGAAGCAGAGGCCTCGCAGCAGCAGGGAGGGGGCAAGGCACCAAGGGCTCATTCCCCCAGGTCCAACGTGCTCCTGCCCACGCTGCTGCCCCCACGAAGGTCCCTGCTGGACTTGCAGGGACTCGCACGTCACCCAGCTCGTTTCACAACAGTTTGTGTCATCTGCCAGCCCAGGGGTAAGTAAAGAGCTGTGTTCCAACAAGGCTGGCTGCTCTAGTTCTGCAAAAATCAATGCAAGCAGCCCTCAATGCTGGCACAGTCGTTCGCTGCCCTGCACACCCTGCCTTGGCTCAGCGAGGATCATTGCAAAAATGCCTGCAATTTGGAGCGGGCTCGAAGCAGAGCACGAGCTCGGCCCCTTCGCACCTCTGCTCGGAGCACCGCGGCGGATGCTGCTGCCAAAGCTGGACCCCAGCAGGCCGGGCAAGGCAGGGCCAAGGCAGGGCAGTGCTCTTGGCAAAGCATCCGCAGCCCGAAGAGGCAGCGGGGCTGCGGTTCCCAGCGCTGAGAAAGCCCCAAAGCTGCAGTTAAACCATCAACTGCTTCCAAGAGACGTTAAGAAGGTAGAAGAGCCAGAACCACCGCAGCCACCTGAGCTGGTCCCTCTCTGAGGCCGTTTTACAAGGGGAAGATGCCCCCGGGTGAGTCCGGCAGCTCAGCCCCTTTACCTTGAGGGATGTCAGGTGTGACACCTTCTGCGTCAGCGCGCCCACCCGGCTGTCACCCCCATACACACGCAGCCCCGACTCCATCTTCACGAGCTTCTCATTTCCTCCAGCATGGTCCCTGCAAGGTTAAAAAGAAACATTTGTGACAGGATGAACACAGGTTTCGTGCAGCTCAAATTGCAGCAGTGACTTCCAGGGGATGGTTTCTGCTCAGCTCGTCTCCCGGTGCCCACATATGGGACCAGCTGGGGACAATCCAGGCAAACCTCCCACTGCTGGATGTGCTCGGGGTGCCCTGCCAGCACAGACAGGAGGGCCAGGGTGAATGTGCTCCCTGCTTGGCCCTTCCGCCTCGGCAGAGGCTTCCCGAGCCGCTGGAATAGCCGGGTAAAGGGCCCGCAGGGGAATCGCAGCGCAGACAGGG